TCTGTTGTTTCGGCCAGATCTCATAATCTCTCCCAACAACCCGACCCAGCGCACAGTAGTTCTTATATTTTTCTGCAGTGACCACAAAGTGCTGAATGGGATTATGAAATCTGATGACATGGTGGAAAACCGATACTTGGCCATGTGTATCACTTCTGCATATCAGTGCTGATTTCTACAGAGTCGAAGTGCACAAACAGTTTGGGTCCAAGTTGAACTAAGTTCAAACTCACCAGCGATCTAAAGAACATGAGCGGGGTGCTAAATGTGCATGAACTCCTGATAGGATCTGTGCATGTTGTATATGATTATTGGGAAAATAGGGCTGCTAGCTGGCAGTAATTAATGAGGGTTTTCGGGGGTTGGCAGCTCCAAGGAAGCCCTTCAAATACAGTGTGTACATGAAGAACAATCACAAGTCAAGAGAACAAAAAGCAGCTGCCAGGGCACCAATAATAGCTATGACTGAACAATACCTTGCCAAGCAGACGCACACACTCACACGTCCACAAACTGGCAACCACTCATAATAGGAAATCCTAATTACAATGGTTTACAGTGCTGATTAAAACTACTAATAATAACTGCTAATAATTACAGCATGCCAGACCTGCACTGGGAAGGAGGAATTACACACCCAGTCAGTCAGTGACTGTTTGGCAGTCAGTCAGCGAGTCAACCAGGCTGGCTGACGGCCTCTCAAACACAGCAACAGCCACAAAAACCATCAGCACATGACAGCGACGCTTCCATCGGGTCAGCCGGAGGACTCGGGACGCCAGGCTACGTCTGACTGCCCGGTGTGGGCGACCTCGAGCCTCAGATTCCCGTTCTCGATCAGCTGTTGTAGTCCGTCCATCTCAGGGTTTAAATTGCTACCTGTTGATTGACGTGCCCCACCCACTCGCTCCCTCCGGTGTCAGTCTCATGATTTTTGAAAGTAACTTGTAACTTTTGAAGATTACTGCATTAGAAAGGAATCCTTATTGTCCCAGTATCGCCCCCAGAGGAAACTCATCTGTTACCTTTGTGTTCCCAAAAATACATCTTCATAACTCGCCGACATGTGGGATGTTTCTTCTGCGTGTAAAGGGAAGCTCTACGTAAATATGTTGCGAAGGCCGTCCACTCACTACGCAGCTGCAGGATTACATAGATTCCACTTTGCAGTATGCATCTGCATGGGCAGCAACGCTGCCCATGCAGATGCATGGGCAGGGATTTCACTTTTGTCCCTTTGTTAGAAGGAAAGGAGCAGGAAACTAACAGTAACAGTAACGCTTATTAGAAAAATGAATAACCGATTACTTGGATTGTAAAACACATTTATTACAATGAAAAAGTAATCAGAGTACTCTAACACCCAACATTTTTTGGGGACAATATTTAAGGTGTCGTGGAAAAATAATAATAAAATGCACATGTTAAACAAATGTGTAGGACTGCTTTCTTCCATTTGTGCAACATCTCTAAAATTAGAAATGAGAGAGCAGATTTCTCCTGTTTTGGCTTCCCTTCATTGGCTTCCTGTTAAATCCAGAATTCAAAATCCTGCTTCTCACATACAAGGTCTTAAATAATCAGGCCCCATCTTATCTTAATGACCTTGTAGTACCATATCACCTATTAGAGCACTTCGCTCTCACACTGCAGGCCTACTTGTTGTTCCTAGAGTATTTAAAAGTAGAATGGGAGGCAGAG